ACTGAATAATATCCAGCATTATCTGGACTTTATCCCCATGTACCAACACAGCTGTAGCCTGGGATTTGAACTGCAAGCCAGTGCTGGAGCTGAAAAACCAGAGTTTGCACAGCACTAAGCACAATATTTCCAAAATTTAATAGTAAGGCCTAAAAAAATACCTGAGGTTCCGGTTTCATAGGAACTGCCTAGGGTCGGTAGGCAAGGGAGTTTTCAGGGATTTTTTAGGGCCGTAAAACAGCCCCCAAAACTCAATCTTGAATTGAGTTTTGAAACTCAATCTTCTCACCAAAGTTTCGGTGCAGTAAAAATGAAGTTGTTTGAGTTCAATTCGTGACAGGGTTTCAGGACACGCTGTCAGTTTTTTTTTCAGGATTTTCTCTTGGGTCCGTTTTTGAGAGAAGATTGAGTTTAGCTGAACAGTTGGGGTGGCTGCCCGACACCTGAACTCAATAAATGTAGTTGAGACGCATGTGTTAAAGCAGGGACACTATAAACTGGAGATGGCAAATGCGTAGTTTTTCTTTTGTTTGTGGGATGAATTCCAGCCATTTTTCTTAATTGTCGGGTTTCCAACTGAAAACTAATTTCCACACGTCACAAATGTAACTCAAACAACTTCATTTTTACTGCACTGAAACTTTGGTGAGAAGATTGAGTTTTCAAAACTCAATTCAAGATTGAATTTTTGCAGCCGTTTTACGGCCCTAAAAAATCGCTGAAAAAAACCCTGGCTGTCAATTGAAATAGCTCTTCTTCATGCACTCGTATTCAAAATATGTTGGTAAAATGTTAAGATACATTATACGAACTGAGCGAACAAAGAAATCTCGGCAAATATTAACTGATGAACAAGTTGAAGAAAGACCACTTATATTTAAAGTAAATTATCAAGTGAACGAAAAATGTTTTGCAAAAGTGGGATACTAGATTTTCTGTGTGGATACCAGATTTTAAATTGCTAGTATCCCGTTGGATACGGCTGAAAAATTCAAATTTGAAGCCCTGGAAACACTGCACAGAACACACAAGAATTGAGATGAATGGGGATTGAAAAATTTGGCAGCACCTGATTCAATGCTTAAAGGTGATCTACAGTCCGTATGTAAACAAAGCCTTTGTTTACATTTTTGTGTCCAAAATATTGAGCTTTATTCGACAACTATTTATATTTTCAAGCTTCTAGAGTATAATAAATGAACAAGAAACAACAATCAGGCTTTTCAAGAACTCAAAACATAGTTAAACTGTTTGTATCATAAAAAGTGGGCTCATTTGTGCACATGCGCAGATCGGACTGTAGATCACCTTTAAAATAGGCCTTTATTTAATTTCACCTTATCAATAGGACATAATACTGATCAACAGACAGGACATTGAAGATTCAGGGTTTGAATTAGAGAGAAAAAGTCGACTCGCAATTTTTTTTATGAATTCTGAAATTCTTGTGCCCCATTCCGGAAAACTTGCTTTACAAGCTTTGTATAAAATACGGTATTTTGTTAACAATTTACTGCACATGGACAAAAAAATTGGCACTTTGTGTATTTGATTGCCAATGGTTGTTACATCACGAGAAACAGAGGTGTAACTTAATGCTTGCCTGGGGCAATTGAATATCATGACCGAATCAACTGCCCAAATTGCATAAACTATATTTCTTTGTTTCACATTGGAGCTGTGCAGCAAACAAAAAATTTGGTTCTTCTGGTACTTTTTTAGCACCAAAAAATAGCAAAAGAACTGGTAGTTTCAATTTTAATTTCCCGTTCAATGCCCTCCAAACGCCCACCTGATTGCAGGTTGAAATATTTGGAAAATAACAAGATTGTGCTCTTTGTTGCACAATATGCACTGTACTAAGTGTTATTTTCTGCCGGCTGAGGAACGAAAGAGGCAGAAAATGTTTTTCTCACACACTGCTGGGGGATTGGGTCAAGGGTGGGGTCAAGGTCATCAGAGTCACTTTTTTGCTTGCCTCGTGCTAGCCTGACCTGTGTTGTTTTTGTTGAGCGAAAAATTTGCCTTTGTTGGCTTGGTAGTCATGCCAAAAGAATCAAATCAACCTAAATCAGACTCTAGAGCGTTACGGCGCCTAGATCCGTACAAAAGAAATCCTCCAGAGCGGGAAGAAAGTCCAGAACGAAGTTCGCGCCATTCGAGTGGCGAAAAAGCAAGGTCGCGTCCTTCGCAATCCGCCAGTCGTTCAGAGACTCGTAGTCGCTCACGTTCGCCATCTGAACCGCCACAATGGGCGAGAGAGTTGTTAAAGAATCAGGAGGATTATAGCAAAGAAATGAAACGTCTACAAAGCGAAATCGAGCGTGATCGAGCGTCTATGTCGACGCGGGATTGTGGGCAAACTATGGGTGTTGTTTTGTCTACTTTTTGGTGAATGTTAAAACGAACGAATGTACGTACGTGAACTGTCAATAATATGCGAATAAATAAATAACTAAAAAATTGAATTGTCAATACCAAATGGCCTGTTAGGGGCACAATGGCCTGTTAGGGGCACAATAGCCTGTAAGGGGCACAATAGCCTGTAAGGGCAGAATCGCCTGTTAGGGGCAAATGGCCTGTTAGGGGCACAATAGTTTGAAAGGGGAAAATACCAGAGTGGAGTTCTGCCCATGGGGGCCGTTGTTGTTTACCTGACAAGAATTATGGCAAGCTTTGTCAAAGCCTGTTGCAGAGTTGAACCACATGACAGTTTTTGGAACTCAGTTCAGCAGCAAGTAGCCAATTGGCTTCGGGTGGCCTGTCAGGGGCGCAATCACTGTGTAATTGCCTGTTAGGGCAGAATTGCCTGTAAAGGGCAAATGGCCTGTTAGGGGCACAATAGCCCGTAAGGGCAGGATGGCCTGTTAGGGGCAAATTGGCCTGTTAGGGGCGGAACAGCCTGTAAGGGACAGATGGCCTGTTAGGGGCACAATAGCCATAAGGGCAGAATCGCCTGTAAGGCAGAATTGCCTGTAAGGGCAGAATTGCCTGTAAGGGCAGAATTGCCTGTAAGGGCAGAATTGCTTGTAAAAGCAGAATTGCCTGTTAGGGCAGAATTGCCTGTTAGGGCAGAATCACCTGTAAAGGCAAAATTGCCTGTTAGGGCAGAATGGCCTGTGTAGGGCAAATGGCCTGTTAGGGGCACAATAGCCCGTAAGGGCAGGATGGCCTGTTAGGGGCATTAATGGCCTTTTAGGGGCACAGTATCCTTTTAGGGGCACGATATCCTGTTAGGGGCACAATATCCTGTAAGGGCAATTTGCCTGTTTGAGGCACAATAGCTTGTTCAGGATTGCCTGCCAAGGAAACAATACGTATTAGAGTTACAGTGGGCAACACTTGGAAGGACTAAATGACAGTTGTTATCACATACATGGTGTATGTGCAGGTGGAGCAGCAGCAGCAGCAGCCGCTTTGGGTGTGCCAATCCTGTTTCACTAACATGGGGAGTGACAGCCTAGGACAGATGCTGTGAAGAGAGATTATACTCTTTGTTATTAGTAACAAAAACTGTTAAGATAAGAACACTTAATTAAGAGGCTTCTCCCAAAGCCTCTTGAACACTCTATGCGTTTTTGCCTTGCGTGTGCAGCATCCCTCAGCTGTGTGTGAGAAGTGTTATTTTCTGCCGGCTGAGGAACGAAAGAGGCAGAAAATGTTTTTCTCACACACTGCTGGGGGATTGGGTCAAGGGTGGGGTCAAGGTCATCAGAGTCACTTTTTTGCTTGCCTCGTGCTAGCCTGACCTGTGTCCCACCCACCCACCCTATTGGCAGGTAGTGCCTAGTTATTATGCAGTTGCAGTAGTGTGCTAACTAGAATTGGGTTTAGTCCAACACGTGATAATTAGTGAGTTGCAGTTTGTACGGATCCGTTTATTGTAAATATGAGATATTTTTGTTGATTAAAGGTCAGGCTGCCTTGCGTGTGCAGCATCCCTCAGCTGTGTGTGAGAAGTGCTCAAGTAGTTGATATTTTAGTTGTGATAGGCCAAAAAAAATATGTGGGTTTCCGGTTTCTTCTTATAAAACTTAGGTGGGGTAGGTCGGTTTTAACTTTTTTTTAAACTTTTTAAATTTTCCTAACAAATGGTGCCATTTTGTTTAGTCAGTGCTTCCACATCAAAAGATAAATTTCCCTATTATTGGCTCAAATTTCAATTTTCCGCAAACTTTTTCCTCTAAGTGGAAACACTTACAAGCATGATCCAATAAAAGAGTTTAGGGTTGGGATTTCGACGTCCAAAAGCTAGGTAGGGTCAGGAAACCGGAATACCCACATTTTTTTTTGGCCTAGTTATTGTTGTGCACTTGCTTTAAATGTTTTTTAAAAAGAAATATTTCATGTTCATAAATAAATTCCAATTGTTCTTTTAAAATATTCAGAGATTTATGCAAACTTGCAAAGGCATAAATTAATCTATTTAGTAAAAATGCTCGAAACACACATAAATGAGTTCATACATTTGTATTGTTCTTCTTTTTTGAATATAACCGAACTGAACCGTGGTTTTTCCATTCCAAAAAAAAACAGGAACCAAGATAAAAAATTTTGGAACCGCACAGCTTTATTTCACATGTGTTTAAAAAAAAAACATTGAATGCGAAAAAATGAAAACGAGTACATTTTATTAAGAAATTTTGATTTGTAAAAAATAAATGTTAGATTTGCAAATGCCAAAACTCGGCTTGCAAATGCCTCGAACCCTGAGATTATCATCACAATAATATTCAAACACTAATAAGGCCAAAAAAAAAATATGTGGGTTTCCGGTTTCTTCTTATAAAAACTTAGGTAGGGTAGGTCGGTTTTAACTCTTTTTTTTTTAACATTTTTTTTAATTTTCCGAACAAGCGGGCGCCATTTTGTTTAGTCAGTGCTTCCACATCCAAAGATAAATTTCCCTAATATTGCCTCAAATTTCAATTTTCCACAAACTTTTTTCTCTAAGTGGAAACACTTACAACCATATCCAATAAAAAAGTTTAGGGTCGGGATTTCGACGTCCAAAAGCTAGGTAGGGTCGGGAAACCGGAAACCCACATATTTTTTTTTTTCCTAATGTCAATGTTTTTCTTTTAGACTAAATCTCAACTACTAAGGTTGTTCAAACTCTTAATTGCATCATGGGAAAGGCGAAGCTTCACATTAACATTGTTGTTATTGGTCATGTGGACTCTGGCAAATCGACCACCACTGGTCATTTGATCTACAAATGTG